AAAGTAGTTCCTACAATTGTTTTTAACCTATGACAATACTTCATAATACAAATCAGTTTTGTAATTTATTCATTTCCTTATGCACTAAAAATTCTGTTTGTGCTTTCAACTACTTTATAATAATAAAATAAGCCCTGAATTTGTATGTATATATACACTTTTTAAATTTTATTAAAATGTATACATATTACCTTGACTAGCTCAAGTGACAGTGTATAGATGCGTGTCATCTTTGCTTAGTCGTATGATAAAGTGTAAAAATGGGATTTTGTAATGGTTGATGCTTCGAGTATCACTATCATGTCCATAAAGCTTTGGGATTCAGTGTTTTAACAGCACCTTTATAAAATTTTACAATTCAGTATATAATTGTCACTTCTAATCTCATATGGTATTAATAATATTTTATCATAATATGTTCTGTTTTTTTTATCATATAAATGCAATGAAGTGTGCTGCAATTTCCTTACTCAAGTTTAATTTCACAATTATGATGTTTACCTATATGCCTCTATTACTGTTATCATTATGGGTGCCATAGTTCCCCCCTCTGATCTTAGGTAAAAATATGTATTTTGTAAGTTGCATCTCTGTTGAATTCTAGTTTCACCTACAGTCACTTTATAATATGTTGTTATAAGTCAAATTGAGATGAAGTTCTTTCAGAGAGAAAGTGTGATATAGTTCTGCATAATGCAACAGCTATTATAACTATAACACATTGTATTACGTAAGGCACGTTACAAGCCTCTCCTGATTAAAAATCATTGTACATATATATATATATTGTAAATAAGTCTAATTTATTATTGCAGAACGTGATCCACAAGTAAAAAAGGTAGTTCTTATAACTATCCAAGAGAAATAGGTTAAATAAATCATTAACACTACTTGATTGATCCAAGGAGCACCAAATGCCTTTTCTTGTTTCCTACTAACAACCTAAAGGTTATTTCAGTCGTGTTTTATTTATTTACAAGTCAGTAAATGATGAAAACTTCTGAATATTTATGGTATTTTCTGTAAGGTATTTCAGAGTGATCTATTTCCTTAAAAAGTGTGATGTTATTTAATACCACACTTGTTAGTTAGCAGGTAAATATATATTTCATGCAAGTTTTTCAAAATGCTTTAAATATGTAATTCTACCACTTTGTAACTTTTCTTGGCCAATGAATTAGGAGTGTGCGGAATGCTTTAGAAAGATGTGTGTGATGTGGTCAAGCTCAAGATGATAATGATTATAGGGTTGCTCCCACGCTAAAACTGACACAGAATCCTCATTAAAAAAAATACACACTTTTTTTTTGTACTTGGATATAATGCAGTCTGTGTTTGAATTTTTTGAAGCCACCACTAGAAATTGCAAGTTTTTGTATTTTTATTTTTTGTAAATAAATATTCATTTGATTATGACTTGGAGACAGTTCTTTTACTTTATTGTTTGTTTTCAGCGAACCAACTGTGATTAGGATGACACATGTAAACCCAAATGAAGGGTTGGGCACAAGACTGAGAAAAATATGGTTTAAGCCACAATAGAAAATGTATTGAGATACTCCTTTGCAGTTTTGTGTGTTAGGCCTGCTAATTTAAACTTCATAAAAGTTGTGGTTTTAATAATGGATTTTCCATACTTCAACTACACAGATTTTGCAAATAATATTCATTTTTTTCTATCATGTAAGGATTTTTTACAAATCAAGAAGAATTAAAAACTGTTACTTGGATCAAATTATTATTATGTTTGTTAACAAAGAAACTGAAGAAAAGGGAAGAACATCAATGTAAAATGAATATGCATCCTCATTCATCCTGATTTTTTTTTTGGTAAATTTACATCTTTTAGTCTCAAAACTGTGTTGTGGTCTTTCTTTTATGTATTGCATTATGACGGTTTGTGAAAAATCTGTACATGATTGAGAAAAATGGATATTTTTGGATTCAGTATACAGGAATTACTGTAGGACACAAAAATTTCAATACAATAAACCCAGCACAGGCCTGTGTTATTAATTAGGGAAGCATCAGCTCGTATAGAATCGGAGAGTGAATGTGGAAATGTTCTTACTTGGTTCAATAACTTCGGTAGGCTTTGTCAGTGGCTTTAGTTTCTAGCTGTAAAAAGATAGTACTTTCAAATTGAGGGGAGGGTGGGAGTCTTATGTTCTAACTTAAATACTTATAATATTTACTACATTTAAAATAATATCAGTGCACACAAGATTTGTATATCAAATATTGTTAGGTTTTTAGTTTTAAACTTGTGTCATCTCTAGAGATCAAAAAAGAGACTTCCTGTTTTTATTTATAAAAGTTTGGACAAAGTAAGATAAATTCATCAATGTGATAGTATCTAGCAGGCTAAAGCACTTTTTTTCACAATACTCATGGGTGGTTTAAGTAAAGGTCCAGAGACATAGCCTTTTGATTAGTTTATTTTTTAACTTTGTAACAATGTTTTCACCACTTATGGTCATCTTCAGGTAAATTGTTGTGTATTTTCTTCTCCTTACAGCAGCACTTGAGTGGTATCTTAAAAGTTATGTAGTGCAGTGTTTCTACATTTTTCATCCTGAATTTTGCTCTCAGTGTCTAAAAGCGAGATTTCTTTATAACTCCCAGTAATAAAAATTTTATTAGTTTTACTTTGTATTAGTACATTTCCAATACTATGCACTAGTTTGTTCATTTGTGGCCAAAATCAGTATTTAGAAACCCTAATAATGAACTCAAATTCTGGTTTGGTTGGTTGGTTGATTGGTGTTTTATGGCGCAAAGCAGCAAGGCTATCTGCACCAAACAACCGGTAAAAACAAAGAAAGTAAATTAATGTAAAATGTAAAAATACAGCGAGTTAAAACCAATAAATGTAGATAAAAGATTTATACAGAATTAAAAATACCTATAGTGTGTAAAAAATTAAAAATACAATCTAATCGGACAGTGTCATCATTACCAATGACACTGTCCAGCGTCAGGGGTAAACTTTTATATAAAATGTGTCTAAAATGATGCCGCCCCTCACAGTTGTAATGACGGCATGACAGTAAAATGTGGGCTATTGTGACTTGAGTGTCACAATGGCTATACATCGGTGGGTCAATACCCGATAAAAGAAAACGATGGGTTAAAAAACTATGACCAATGTGTAGCCTTGCCAGGACTACTTCCTCCTTCCGATCCTTACGGAAGCAAGACGGCAAAGACCAACAGAAGGTTTGATCTGGAAAAGCTTATTATGCCGTTGCTCACTCCAAGTCGACTGCCAACTGGACGAGGATACCTTGTGTGATGGGCGGGTACACGGAGGGGTGGCACTGTTGGTCGACCAGCATGTGCCCTCCTTATCCATGTCCCTCGATACACCCTTGGAGGCTGTAGCCATTCGTGTTTCCTTGGGTTGTGCCATCACAGTTTGTTCTCTCTACCTGTCTCCTGGGGAGACTTATAATCAATCAGACCTTGATGCTCTCGTTGACCAGTTGCCACCTCCCTTTTTACTTTTGGGAGACTTAAATGGACACAACCCCCTCTGGGGTGGTGCTGATATTGATGGGAGGGGTCGTTCCATAGAGCGCATGCTCTCGGATCACAACCTCTCTCTCTTCAATACTGGAACATACACTTACTTTCATGCACCTAGTCAGTCTTTTACTGCCATTGATCTCTCAATTTGCTCCCCTACACTTTTCACTCGTTTTTCTTGGATGGTCGACAGCGATCCTCAGGGCAGTGAGCATTTTCCCATCATACTGAGAGAGGTTGGCCATGGTCGATGCCACCCGACCCGAGTGCCACGGTGGAAGCTGGACCAGGCTGACTGGCCATCTTTCACCTCTCTCTCTGAACTTGATCCTGCCTTCGTCTGTCTACCATCAATAGACGATTGTGTGGTGGCAGTGACTGACTGTATTGTCCAGGCGGCTGTTTATTCTATTCCTAAGACCTCGACACGTTTTCCACCCCTGTCATTCCGGTACAAGGAAAACTG